ATTGTCATCTTGGAATATTCCCAATGTGCCATCAGGGATGGAAAAACCTGGTCATTCAGTATATTCAGGCAAGCGGCTGACCTCATTTTTGGGGGGACAGGTCGTTGCTGAACCTAAATCTGACCAACTGAAGTTACCTCAGAGCATAACACTTATGCAATGGAAGGCTCTCATTTATTTGTTTAGCTAAATCCAGGAGGTGACTTTTTTTGGCCAGACGGTGTATTTTGAGAATGAACCAAGGGCTGGATACGTCTCCAATTCTACCCATTTATAATGAGATTACTTACAAGACAATCACGTATTCAGCTACCACCTTCCACTTTTTTATTGTTGCATTTATTTCCATTTTGATCATTCCACAAGGATTAAAAACACATAATAAACATTACAAGAAGTTAAAACGATTGTGTGCAAAATAAACCAACAACTTTACCGTGACACAGAGGTAATGATAACAGACGTAAAGCTTACTGCAGATTGTTTGATTTGGTAGCCTCATGGAAGGGTCCTGGTACTTAAAGTGACACGAAACTCAGGCGTTAAATCTTAAAAACACATTCAAGCACCTGAACTGTTAACAGAAATGTATGTTATTTGTGTATCACTCGGCTGTAGATCCTCAAATCATCTCTGAATTGGTGCTGACACTGTCCTTCCTTCTGGAGGGTGACTACTTTTGTTCCCCATGGTCTCTCTGTGTGTGTTGTAAAGTAGTCACCACTCCAAGCTCACTCCCGGGATGGACTACAATCTCATGTTTAGTTTATTAATTTGTATTGAGATTGTAGTCCATCACAGGAGCGAGCTTGGAGCGGTGACTACTTTACAACACACACAAGGACCATGGGGAAGAAAAGTAGCCACCCTCCAGAAGGAAGGACAGTGTCAGCACCAATTCAGAGATGATTGGAGGATCTACAGCCGAGTGATACACAAATAAGATAAATTTTTGGGAATATTTAGGGTACGTGAATGTACTTTTAAGCTGGGTTCATCCCTAGGCGTATCGAATATGCACGTTTGTCGCGCGTTTTGTGATTCGCGGTAAAAAACGCGCGGCAAACGCGAGTTTCCGAGGGCTACCTGGCTGTATCCCAATGGAAACGCGTGACAAAAACGCCCCAAAGAAGCTCCTGTACTTCTGTAGGGCGTTTTGTAGCGCGTTCATACGGCCTGTAATACGCCCAGGTGTGAACCATACCCATAGGAAATAATGGGATTTCGGTGTTTGAGCGTTTTGCAGAGCGTAGGAACGTGCTACAAAACGCCCAGGTGTGAACTGGGCCTTAAGATTTATTGTCTGAGTTTTTCGTCACCTTAAGGGGAAAAAGTGTGCGTGTTCCTCTGAGCAGCTAAACAGATTACAGTTCAGTCAATTAATTCAACCGGTGCTACTACTTAGATCTAGCTGCTGAACTAATCAAGGGGAGACAGTGGATGATTTCAGCTCATCATCACATACCTACAACCCAAATAATCAGTTTTGGGCAATCTAACCCTTTAAAGCAGGGGTAGCCAAACTCCGGCCCTCCAACTGTGGTGAAACTACAAATCCCATGACGCAGCTCTCTCCGGGAGTCATGTCTGTGGCCGAGTCTTGCAATGCCTCATGGGATTTGTAGTTCCACCACAGCTGGAGGGCCTGGCTACCCCTGCAAAGTGTACCAGTCGCCAATGCACGGAAGGCAGTAACAAGCGAACCAATACACACGCTACCACTTCCCTGTGAACTAGTCACATTATAACCTGCCTCCAACCAGTGCAATGTTACTGCAAATGAAACTGAAACACTAATCTGTTTACATATCGACCCCCTTCTGACACTCCAGATGACAGGTACACTTTAAAGCTATTACAAATTTGCAACTATAATGAGCATAACAATATGACCATAATGCTAACAGTACTTGAATAGTGTTCTAGAATCTGGCAGTGTGATAGAAAGGAAGGGGTGTCATTCTAAAATAGCTAAAAGCACGGACACATATTTGGAGACATTAACATCAAACAAAAGCGAGTAAAAGCAGCTTTGCCGCCTGGACAGGACAGATATATACCTACGGTATAACCGGCTCCTATGGAAAAACATCGCAGATAGGTCCAGCTAGGAAGTCAGCTGGATGGTTTGCTACATATCAAAAAAATGACATAAAACATCGGGATCTCTTTAGAAGTGTTTTCACACAACTTTCACCCAGGATTACACATTTTACAGTTGAATCCTATTAGAAAATGCATTAATCCTGGGTGAAAGTTGTGTTCAAACATACAAAAAAAGACTTCAGTGTCATAATAATAATAAAACTTGAAAAAGGGAAATGTAAAAATAGACTTAACCCCTCATTGCCTTTCCAGAAATCTTCCACAACATTTGTTTGTTTTTTTACCTGAAAGAATACAATGTGAAATGCTCTACCGCACCGCCTTGCTTTTTCTTACAGGTCAAGATACTCAAACAACAAATGCAGCAAAATGATAGAATGGGGATGTAACCAGCGTGTTGTCATGTAGGATTCCTAGAAAACCATTTCCACTTCATGTTCCCTGAAACACCCTTCAGGGCTTGTTCACACCAAATGCAGACCAGATCTGTATGAGTTTCTGCACGCGCAGTGCAGTGGGTTGTGCCGCGTTCCAGGCCATTTTTGTACAAACATTTTTTTTTTCTTTTTGTTAGCCTAAAATGGCCTTTCAGTGCGTTTGCATGCGTTTTTTATGCTTTTGCATGCATTTTGGTGTGTTCCATGCTCTGGTGTGAACTAGAGCCCAAAATACAATTGGAATACATTGGATGCAGTTTTGATCTATTCTGTAACTGCTTTGCTCTGCATCTGCTCCGCACTCGGTGTGAACAAGCCCTTAAAGGAGAACTATGAGGTGAGTGCTTTTCACTCACCTCATAGTTCTAGCCGACCTGTGACAATGAGACTGTCACAGGTCGGCTCAGTAGATCGGGAGGTGAGCGAACACATACCGGCATTCGCTCACCTCTCGATCCTGTCACAGCTCTCTGCCGTGACAGGGGAGGGGCTGGATTCCCCCCTCCCCGCCAGCGCTGACTGGCAGAACGGACGGGGGAGGGTACAGCTGGCTCTGCCTCTAGATAGGCAGAGCCAGCTGTCACTCACGCAGCTGGGCGGATCTCGACATCGATGTCTGGATCCCCCCCTGGCTGCGGCGTCTCAGTATACTGCGAGCTGTAGCTCGCGGTATACTGAGCCTAGGGTGACGGGAGGACGCTAGTTTGTGTCCTCCCGTTACCCTAAGGAGAACTATGGGGAACAGCCCTCACCCCATAGTTCTCCTTTAAGCGACCTTGTCGCTGTTTTAAACAACTATAAATGACCTCCCTGTAATGAAAACAATAGTTACCTGTCCTGCTTCTGCCGCCACCGCTGCTGCACTTCCTTGTCTTGAAGAGGTAAACTTGCTGAAAAATCTTCTACATCTGACTCTTTCAGGAGTGCCGGATGCCAGCGCCCCATTGCACTTAATGGTTTCATCTGCCAGCCTTTAAAGTGACACTAAACTCAGGAGTTAATACTTGAACACTTTTTTAAATTTAACAAAAATGTATCTTATTTGTGTATCACTTGGCTGCAGATCCTCAAATCATCTCTGAATTGGTGCTGACACTGTTCTTCCTTCTGGAGGGTGACTACTTTTCTTCCCCATGGTCCCTGTGTGTGTTGTAAAGTAGTCAATAGTATTTTTTTTAATAACCACTAGAGGTGTATCCTAAATGGAGCTATAGACTTCCCCCTTCCACCGGAAGCCGATAAGTTGGAGAATGAATGAGAGAAGAGAGTGAGATTAGGTGTGATTGAAGTTGGGGAGTAGTGAAGGCAAGTGACGGCTGTTGGAATTGGAATAGATGTTTTTAATAGAGTGTTTTAAATTATTATCGCTATATAAAAGATAATCTGAAGTAAATAAATTGGATGTATTTTGTATGAATGTATTTTGAGTACGAGTACCGATATAAGTAGCCACCACTCCAAGCTCGCTCCCGTGATGGACTATAATCTCAATAGAAATAAGTGAACTAAACATGAGATTGTAGTCCATCACAGGAGCGAGCTTGGAGCGGTGACTACTTTACAACACACACATGGGGAACAAAAGTAGCCGCCCTCCAGAAGGAAGGACAGTGTCAGCACCAATTCAGAGATGATTGGAGGATCTACAGCCGAGTGATACACAAATAAGATACATTTTTGTTAAAAGGTACTTGAATGCATCTTTAAGATTTAACTCCCGAGTTTAAATCAATACTATCTACAGTAATAATCTAATAGCCTATGAAAGGAACCATAGAGCACAGAAGGAGACCAAGCAGCCGCAACAACCCGAAGTGTGCCGGATGCTGGAGACTCTTCTAGTTTATTTCTTCAAGATAGCAAAGTTAGCGCAAGCAGCTGAAGCAGCAAATATTAAATGAGAGGTGATCTCAACGGTCAACCCTGGGACCAGAAAACAAGCAAGAGTAAGGACCAGGCTTGTTAAGCCCTCCAGATCCTTTCCCATTAGGCAGACAGGATCACCTCTGAGGTTAAGGGTGTTGTCAGGGAAGATATCCCAGAAATTGGAGCTGTGATCATGAGCAGCTCATCGGATTCCAACTGTGTTTCCAATAAAGGTTAAGTTATGAAAGCTACCACATGGCTGTTACCTATTGCAGCACCACCATATCCCCAATGTTTGGGTTTTGCAAATGAGTGCAAGAATATCACACAGACGCCAGATGAAGGGCCATTATGGTGCCCCTGTAGTGCTAATGTCTATGTTGCTTACTGAAGCACCATGTCTTGTACCTTCCTCTTCTGCAGCCAGCACAGAGAAGTATAAAAAAAACAGAATGACCTTAATGTAGCAGCCTAGGGATTAGAAGAACCCCGCAGTGCACTCTACAAACGGACACACAAGCCATCAGAATCATCCAAACATTTAACTTGGCATGACAAAATGATCAGATTGCAGACATCTAATGCCCATGTTATTCATTGCATTGTTTTGTTTTGTTCCCACTATCAAATTTGAAACTTAAAATCAAAGTGTCTTGTTGATCCAGAATTTAAAAGCGTATGAATTAAAATCCTGCTTAAAAGAAGAAAAGGATCCTTCAGTTGCATCTCACTGGATCATCGGGATTGAGAGGCGGCAAGGCCACGGGTACTAGAGCAGAGAACTGCCTGTCCGTCAGCTGTGTTCCTCCCCCATATCGGAAACGTGCTGGTAGCCAACCGGTTGTGATTTCTGCCGGAAAAGAACTGTGAGCAGGAGCACGATGAGCAGAAAGAGGATGCATCCACAGGCGACCAGTGCGATTATGACTTCTGAAAAAGAAGAGCATAGATTGTCAGATCCTCCTTCAACCAATGGTGGAACTTCTAATAACATGGTACACTGGTGACTAAGGCACATGACTAAGGCACATGATCTTTGGAAAGGACATGCAGCCCTCTTCTACTCAGACAGGCCACCCTATTAGCATCTCAGATACTAAAACAAACTTCGTACACTCAGCTACCTTTTACATGTATTAGAAGTTATTTCAATGTTTTGTCTTGACTAGACTGGCCTTTGACCAGTGGACAGTCTATGAGTATTCAAGTATTTACAGTACATATTTTTAAAGCTGGACTCCAGGGTGCTTTTGAAGCAGACCTTTAGTAACCAAGTCCACTATAGCTCTTTGCAATCCCCCACCGCCCCACCCAATATAAAACGGTGAGGGGGGAAGGGGGGGCACTACCAGTGTTGACTAGGTAACATGACATGTCCTTGCTCCCTCGGCCTCCTCCTGTCACATATCCCAGGAGGCTGCAGGAGCAGGGACTCACAGCAACTTGGGGTGGATATGGCCTGTGTGTCACTGGGGGCCCGTTGCAGAAGACAGCTGGTTCTCAATGATATCACAGAAGAAGATGGTGGTGCAGGATCCGGGTTGTGGCAGCAGGTCACGGCAGAACAATGCTTGATTTGCTGGGCAGGTCAGTGTTTGGGGATAGAGAGCCCTGGGAAGCAGAACACTATAGACCACTTATGTAATGGCTGTCACACTATATAAAAGATGATAAAAGGACTCAAGATTGATCCAAAGTAAGAGAACAATGTTACAAAGGTGCATTTTTTGATCTGACTACCGTCAATAAATAAGCATTACAGCGAATCAAAACCAAAAAAGTAATACACTTCAGGTTATGAGACAAGGTGGCTGCATACGTTTTCATTTTTTCAGGCTTTTTTCTCTTTCATTTTCATCCTTGATCCTGCAAATAAACACACTTCCTGCCTTTTTGTGGTTATACTCCTCCACTGTATCTATGGAGGCAGTCGTGGTTGCCACTCAGACTGGACTACAAATGTCTGCCTTTGGTATCGGTCACACGGATGGCAAAAAAGCGTGCGTGCGTGTCCCAAATGGCACTTCGTCCTCAGTGCAGCTCAGCCTGATAAAATCAGTGCCTCAGCGTTACTGAGCTCCCTATCCGGACACTAAGCCCGTCACACAGACGAGTAGGCGAGGAGATTTGCTGTGGGTGGAGGGAGTCTGATGGGGAAATCTGAGAGATTAGTTCCCTATTAGGTCCACCTCCCTTGTCACTAACAGGGGACACAGTGGGCCAATTCCACATCTGGTAGCAATTATACAATCTGCCCGCTGCCAATAACAAGTTAAATAAGTAAAACACACAAAATGATCAAAGAACGGAGTCAGTGTAAGAGACTATAATGGTCATAGGTTTTAAAGTCAGCCATATTGTTTCTGCCTTACATTTCGATTTCTAGTTTTAAGGACATATTTTCACTGGGAGAGAGATTTCTCACAACCATTTCTGAGAAATGTCATGTAGGCAGGGGGGCGGGGCAGAGGAGAAGCGGCCAGACCGGGGGACCCGACGGACCGGCAGAAGAGGAGGTGCGGACGGACCGGAAGAAGAGGAACCGGCCGGGACAGCAGCGGAGGTACGGGGGGCAGCGGAGGAATGCAGCTGTCTGTGTCCCCGCTGTCTCCGCCAACACAGGGACACAGGCCGCTGCAGCCACAGTTCTTCTAAATGTACCGGCGGCTGCCGGTACATTTAGGAGAACTGTGGACCTCGGTTCGTAAGTACGGGTTGTCCGTAAGTCGGACGTCCGTAACCCGGGGACTGCCGGTATATGTATCCACAAATTTAAATCTTGAATATTCTTGAAGGGGTGACTTTGGAGTGGTGACTACTTTACAACACACACACAGGGACCATGGGGAACAAAAGTAGTCACCCTCCAGAAGGAAGGACAGTGTCAGCACCAATTCAGAGAGTAATATGGAATAACCACCACCGAGTGATACACAAATAAGATACATTTTTGTTAATAGTTAAGGTACTTGAACGCATCTTTAAGATTGAACTCCTGAGTTTAGTTTAGATTTACGCTCAGTTCACAAAGCTATACACACCAGCATAAGGGTCCTTCTTATCAAAAAAGTGAAAGTTCTTTCAGCTGAATTCAATGACATTTGAAAATTACGATTTGCCTAAAATAAAGATCCTTATTTTTCTATTAAAGATTTGTGAAGCCATTTTTGTCCATTATTTAGCTGCCAAGCTGTGTTTTTGTGGTGTCTCTCACCTGTGTCTTTGCTGGAACTGGAGAGCTGACATTCTTTCTCCCAGTCTTTAGTGATCACCTTCTGTAGCAAATCCTGGAACTTGTCTAGGGGGCAGCTATGTACACAGCCCGGGAGCGTTAAGCGGTAAGGTGGTTGGCTGCTGTCATTTCTGAAGTACATCTCCACTGTAAAGTTCCTGTGATGTAAAATCAGCAAGAAGGTAAAAAAAATAATCACAAATAAAATCAGAGAACGAATGATAGAAGTGAGACCAATCAAGGCTAAGGGTGTGATATATGACAAAACAAGGTCAATCTGCAAGCTGCCACCAATGACCACTTCTTCAGAAAATGCTAGTTGTTTGGCCATTACACTCTTCCAGGGTTATTCACAAAAGGGTGAAGAGTTTGGAGAAGGCAGGAGAAGTGAACAATCTAGGACAACATAGCCGATTTGGAAAAATTCTCCAATTCAGCTCACTTTCCAGGTCAGCTATGTTGTCCTAAATTGTTCCCTTCTCCGGCCTTCTCCAAACTCTTCTCCCTTTTGTGAATTACCATGCAAGTCAGTAACCTAGCACAAATACACTGGTCAGGCTGTCTTACTTTTCTTTTCTGATTAGCATACTTGTTTCTGGTCAGCTATTAAGAAAGGATAAAGCCAAATGCCCAGTATAGCAGCTAGTCAGTTACTATATTCACAAGGAGATAAGCAGTGGAAGTCCATTTATCTTTCTCATCACAGGTTTACAATAGCAACCAGTCATCTTCCATTTGATGCAGTTTAAACCCTTTCCAGTTAATCCGGAGTCTGTTCTGGGGCTTGTTGGAAGATGCAAGTGCTGATGAGGATGTGGGGAAAAAAGCGTCCTCTAGTAGGTGGGTAATGGCAAAAAGTACAGCAATGCAGGAACTTCAAGAGAACCTGTATGACCCTCTAAATGTGCTTTCTAAATGTGCTTTCCCTGGGACAAAAGCACCTATTCAGCATCACACACAGTGACATGTTTGTCCCAAATGAATACTGCTCCCAGCACTGGATGGTAACATTGGCTATGCCAGCTAGCAGCTGTGCTAACAGGTTTTCTTTACGCCCAGGATTCTGAACATGCCATATGTATGTTGGCATTTAGGAGTCTGTAGACAGAGAACAACTTACAACCTTCAAATGAAAGATATAAGACAATAATTAGAGGACTAGCAGGGTAACCTGGAGGTGGTAGGATCAGAGAATTGAAATAATGGGGCAAACTGGGGTACCATCCATTAGTAGATCCCAGGGTTACTGGACTAGGAAGCCTCTGAAGGGGTAAGTTTCCTTTCCTAACTTATCAAAACAAATTGACGAAAAGAAAGCAGTAAATTGCATCTAATTAGTATCCCACATATGAATGTCTCTGACATCCACCTCCATCCTACCAGACACCGAAGAAGCAGTGGCTTATATAGAGTTATAGAACTTTCCTAATGCCCTGGGCATTAATCCCAGAGGTCAGTAGGGGCTCTAGTGAATGTTAGAAAAAAGTAGATGTAGGACTCATTCCCGACATTCAGTTTCTAATGGTCTGGTCCTATGCTTTTTATTATGCACAAAAATACTTCTAGCAATGTAACGAGATGTGTGTTTAAAAAAAATGCATCTGAATGTGGGAAAGCCAGAAAAGGATATAAAGATAAAACTTGTATGCTTATACCCGGGGTTCTCTTCATACAGCTCGAACATATGGCAAGATGCATATGGAGCCTGCTTCCCATTATATACGTCCAGAGCCATTTGTAAAGCACTCAGCGTGGTGTCATGCTACAAAAAAGAAGAAAGTGTACAATTAAGTATATTCAGACAATTCATATTTTCTATTTTCTCTGTTGTATTTGTCTGATATGAAGCTGAAAAGGCCATTTCACTAAAAACAGATATTTCAGTTGTGGGCAGGCTGGTTTACCCGTGCTATATCAGCCTCCATCCCTCCAAGCTCGCTCCCATGATGGACTACAATCTCAATACAAATTAGTAAACTAAGCATGAGATTGTAGTCCATCACAGGAGCGAGCTTGGACCAGTGACTAAGGAAGGACAGTGTCAGCACCAATTCAGAGAGGATTTGAGGATCTACAGCCGAGTGATACACAAATAAGACACGTTTTTGTTAGTAGTTAAGGTACTTGAATGTATTTTTAAAATGTAGCTCCTGAGTTTAGTGTCACTTCAAAATGTATAGAAAGAGCTATGATACAGTATATATAGATAAATGGTCCTGGGTGGCCTATAAAGTAAGTTGGCCATAATGTGCTAATATGCTGTGCCCTCTGTAGGGCTTAAAATAAAAAAAATTCTTCTGCTTTAATAACCAAATGTTCAAGATCAACTTCATAAACCTATAGCTCAAACCTAGAGAACTAGCAGGAGTAGGGAAAATATGAATGGCTGGACAAATGACAGAAGCACTGTATAATGTGATATAAGGTGAGGCGTAATGTACATTAATATCCACAAGGAACATGTTCGGAAGAAATACATAGTAGCGGCCCCGCCATTATAACTTACTGATGAGTATGCAATCAGCTTAAGGCCACTGGTGGCATCGTGTGCAGCTGCTGTCATATTCTTCAGGATCTGTGCCACCAAAACACCTGAATAGAAGACAAAGGCATTATAGGCTCAAGTTACTAAGAGGAATCACTTACCTAATCACTTAACACAATGATTTATATCAAATAATTATATAAAACATAGAATATTGTAATTATTTTATTTTTAAATTTCAGTTCGCACATACATATCTTTTTGGAGTGGAATTGTTTAACTTTCATATAATATGGGTATTGTCTCATAAATAGATAAAGCTGAAGTTTAATCTGCTTATGTTTTGTCTTCCCTGGTCTCTCCTTTCCCCCTTCATCAAAAGGCTGCTAAAACCTTAAAATGAAAACCTTTCCATTCTTTTACATAACTGGGTAATTCCTAGGAAGGCTGCATTTGCAGAGCACCCTAGAGCTGCTGAGCCTTCATATCTGCAAGAACTAGAAACCAATAAATGAAAAGTGTGGCCCAGGGACAATTAGACTTGGGAGGACAAAGCTAGATGATGCTGGAAGTCCTCCAGCCAGAAAATAAGGCGGACTCTACCCGACTGTATACTGAGCTGCTTTCATTTCTGTCTTTTACATCTGTCTGGAGTTCAGCTTTAAACTGCTGCCAAAAAGGGCTCTAAATTCACCTTCAGGGCTTTGTGACTTACCTCCCTGCAGACGAGCTTTCTTCTCCTGTTCAATGATCCCAAACAAGAACCTGAAGCTGAAATCCTTCAATTCGACCAGTTGTGCCACAACCTCTGGTGTTGCCCAGGAGGGAAGACTCAGGTTATGCTTTGTCTAGGACAGAGGAAGCAAAAAGTCACATATGTATATCACTATACTCTATCAATAATAATACACATGGATATCGTAAGTTACATATTTTTCCACAAGGGGAAACTATTGGAGATTCAGAATGCCATGGAAGGTCTTCTTTCTGCTATGGGGCTGCATGGCCTCAGACTGGTCAGAGTGCACATGCTGACCAGTGTCTGCCTACAAAAGAGCCTATAATGGGCACTTGAGCATCATAACTGAACCACAGAGCAATGGAAGTATGTGGCCTGATCTGATAAATCACATTTTCTTTTATATCATGCGGATGGCCGGGTGTGTGTGTCGCTTACCTGGGGAAGAGATGGCACCAGGATGCACTATGGGAAGACAAGTCGGCAGAGGTAGTGTGATGCTTTGTGCAATGTTCTGCTGGGAAACCTTGTGTCCTGCCATTCATGTTGATGTTACTTTGACAAGTACCACCGACCTAAACATTGGTGCTGACCAAGTACCCCCCTTCATGGAAACAGTATTCCCTGATGGCACTGGCCTCTTTCAGCAGGATAATGCATCCCGTCATACTGCAAGAATAGTTTAAGGAAAACAGCAAGTCAGAGGTGTTGACTTGTTCTCCAAATTCTCCAGATCTCATTCCAATCGAGGATCTGTGGGATGTGCCCATAGAGGCCACACCTCGCAACCTACAGGACGTAAAGATCTGCTACTGACGGCTTGGTGCCAGATACCACATCATACCTTCAGAGGTCTAGTGGAGTTCATTCGACAGGTCAGGGCTGTTTTGGCAGCAAAAGGGGAATGTACTCAATAATGTTATGACTGATCTGTATATATTCATATACAAATGTCTATTAATTAACATTACTGTGGAGAAGCATTTTTAGCATACTGACCTCGCAAAAGAGGATGTCTGAGATTGACCACACAGATTCCAAAGAGCAGTCAGACAGTCCGGTCTCATTTGCTACCATTTGTAGGAAGTTCTATTTAAAAAATATAGAATATATGAGCAGTGAAAATACAATGGATTATCTGGCTTAGGGAATTCTGACACTCTACAATCTTACCAAGTTGTCTCTCGTCTTGTTAACATACTCTGGAGAGTGTCGCGTCTCCTCTTGCAGTTTAGTATATTTTGGACATGGAAGTATTGGAAACTTCAGGAGCTAGTTAAAAAAAAAAGTCCAACTAATTGAGTGGCCGCCTCCTATACACCTTGCCCCATATTGTCAGTCACATGTTCATCATTACTTACTCTATCTTCACTCTCTGGAACTGTGTGCACCGGGATTGGCTGCCAGGTGATGTTTGGCAGGAATACCTCGGAGCCCTCAGGTGGGTACAGACCTGCCAGGTTGGACTCAGCGCTCATTAGTGTTCGATCCACATCTGTACTCCTCACATAGATCTGATTAAAAAGGAGGGCCGTAAGGGAAATTGGTAGAACCACAACATTTAGCACTACGTAGAAAGATTGCATCTTTTTATTACCCTGGCAGTGGGGCCTCCCTGCACTGCAAGGGTTAAATGCATGTTAACGGTCAGTAAACCCCAAAAAACTATAACCTACCTAATAATTTTTAGACTGGCTCTGTGCCCCTTTTTTTGCTAATGGAAACTTCCCTTATCATTAAATGACTTATTGATCCTTCCAGGCAATCGTTCTGGTTCTGCCACCACTATGCACATGCAAGTCTTGTTGATTCTCGGCTTCCTGAGTAATCCTCCTATGTCAGCACAGTCTGAGTCAGGTGCAGGACTAAGCAGCAGTGGGTCACATGTCTTGTTGATGTCCCTTCAGCTGTTTCAGGCCCTCCTCCCCGGGCCATGCAAAGCAGAGTTGATCTCGTTGTTCCTGCAACTTCCTCTGTTAAAGCAAAACTATACTCACCTGCCCTCCTGCAATGCGATGTCTGCAAGCTTCCTCAATGACCACTGATATCTTTGCCTGGTCTTTTACCAAGCCATCTTGAGTGGGTTACCCCGAGATGACATAAACTCCCTTGCATGCGTGGGAATTATTTATCTTGGAAGATGCCAAGTTCGAACACTGAGCTACATGTGTGCATAACATTGTACTCTGCAAACAGGCAGGTAAGGATCCTTTTATTGCAGAAAAAAACATAGTATGTCTCTTCTACGATATAAAAACCTGCCTGCTTGCTGGCTTTAATTGCAGGTGTCAAGTACCACTCATATCAATACATGTGTCCCTGTCGAGCCCCTACAATCCTAGGCTCAAGCTTAGGGCCTCAAGTCCTGCACTTTCTTCTACTTAGCCATGACCACCAACCTGCTTTTAAGCACAAGAGTCCCTACTGCCCACTGAAAGTGTGTAGAATAATAAAGAACAGGATTTAGAGCTGGAATGGGAAGTCGTGGACCCATGCACAACCTAGTTCCTGTCATGCATGAGGATCAGGACCCAACACAATCCTGCATATGTTCTGATCCTTCACATTTCTCTACAACAGATTAAAAATGACAGCAAGTTAGAACATTTCCCTGTTCAATACTACAAGCCTCGGATTGCAGATTATTGAAATTCTGGATATCAGAAACAGGTGCTGCTGAAAATCATGAACCTAGCTTATTTATTGAAGCCACATACGAGTATGTACAGGGAAAACTCCGATAGCCCCCTTGTGGATTCACACTTGTGAGCAGAAAAAACTTGATATCTCCCTGAGACATAAGTGGTGGGGTCAGGAGCTTTCCATTAAAGATCTTGGTGAACCCCAACCATGCAGTTTCTTCTCCTGCTGCATTTTCATGATGTAAAATAAAGAAAGAAATCCAAAAGGGGCATTAGACCCCCTTAGTAAAAATTGTCCTTGTTAGTCACTATGCAAAGTGAAACTGATCATGTTGACTGATACAGATAAACAGAGAAAGCCCCCTTTGTACTCTTGTGACGTATTTTGGCCAAACACAGGAACCATTATTCTATTTCCTGTGCAGAGAGAGGCTTAGAAAGGTTTTCACATTTTATAATAAAGTTCTATTAAGTGGTCATTTTACACACAAAACTGTTCTTAGGGGTGATTTCATACCTCACGTCGGTCATATGATTCATTGAGGAATCCTTTGTATCGCTCTCGCAGCGCCTGTCCCAAATCCCAGTGCTGCTTCATCCCAATCTGAAAGCAGAGCGGAAATACAGAGCACATCAAAGATTGTACATCATACAGTACCAATAAGATACTTGAGTTCTTTTAAAGACAAGTAAAGTGCTTTAACACCTTGTAAGAAGGCCAACTATAGGTGGGCAGGCTCCCACTTGGAACACAAAGTATATTTTTTTGCACTTTGGATGGAGTAGAAGAGGACAACGTTTTTTTCTTAGCCATCTGTGCCTAATTCATGAGATTCCCCTTCACTTCCTGTCCTGTAGACTCAACAGGAAGTGAGAGAATATCTTTCCAAATTGAGGGAATACGGAAAATTGTATACTTACCCATCGGTAATTTTCCTTTCCTGACGCCAATACATGGCAGCATACAATGGGCGGAGCCATACCCATTGTATGCTGCCATGGATTGGCGTCAGGAATACGGAAAATTGTATACTTACCTATTGGTAATTTTCCTTTCCTGACGCCAATACATGGCAGCATACAATGGGCGGAGCCATACCCATTGTATGCTGCCATGGATTGGCGTCAGGAATACGGAAAATTGTATACTTACCTATTGGTAATTTTCCTTTCCTGACGCCAATACATGGCAGCATACAATGGGCGGAGCCATACCCATTGTATGCTGCCATGGATTGGCGTCAGGAATACGGAAAATTGTATACTTACCTATTGGTAATTTTCCTTTCCTGACGCCAATACATGGCAGCATACAATGAGTATGGCTCCGCCCATTGTATGCTGCCATGGATTGTCGTCAGGAAATTCCCTTTTAGTCAGTTGCCCCAGTAACAATAACCCCATTGGAAGAATTTCCCGTATTCTTGTTCTGGTGGCAACTCAAAATTTTGAATTCACTCCCTGCCTGCAAGAGTTATTTGACGCTTTTGGGTGGGTCCAATACCAGTTATCTTCACCACATGCTCCAGTTCTTCCCAATGGCTTGTACATGTCCTGTGACTATCAGCTAGCGGGAGAAATTCTGGCGTGTATTGGGGAAGCACGTATTCCACAGACCTAAAGGTGTATAATATATGCAGTAGCCAGGGAGCAGCAAAGCGGCATCATTTCAACACGCAGGTCACCAGAAATGTAAGTATGTTTCCTCTTCTCTTACAGGTTTGGTATTTTGTACAAGCTTCCCTTTGGTGACAGAGTCACTTTAACCCCTTCATGACTGAGCTTGTTTTTAGTTTTCTGTTCGTAAATGACTGACACACTTTTGACATTTTTGCTGTGTGCTTCTTCTACGTCAGTAATATACTTTCTTACAAAGTGCACCCACACATATTATATATTGTTTTTTAGAGGACAGATAGGGCTACATATTTATATCACATATGTGTGTCTAACGCCTCACTTAGGACAAATAAAATATAAAAAAAGAGGAAAAAACGTAAAAAAAACACTTTTTTCCCAGTTTTGATTTGTAGTATTTTTTTACAAAACCAGCACAGCTAAAACAAAATGCAATCAATACATTCATTAAATTTGTCCCTTTTTTTTTTTTACACTTTTCACTATTTTTTATTTAAACTTAAAAATGTTATTTTATTTATTTAATTATATCAAGCAGTCATTGTGAATTAATCTCACTATTACTGCTTGATAAATTAATACATTTTTGGTTATCATCAGGCTGTTTCAAACTTCAGAACAGCCGATAATAAGTTAGTGACACTGATCCTGCAGCAGTTCAGGATTCAGCTGTCACTAGTTTTCTGATTGTTACAACAACCATCAGAAAACGGAAACATTCTTCTTTCAGGAATGGATACATTATGTATCTATTCCTGAAAGTGAAAAAAAAAAAAAGCCAGTATAGCTTGAGAGAGATATCTCTCGATCTATACTTGCCGGCCAGCTCTGCTTTGACTCTCAGACACCCGATATTAAGGTATCGGGTGTCTGAAAAAGGTTAACCCTTTCATTAATGGATGCCTCTAAACTGAGGGATACATTAATGAATGTTAACCGCTGATTCTCAGCAGTTACCAGCCATCTAGTGCAGCAAATAACTCGTCACGTACCGTGTACGTGACAAGTCATTTGGTCCCTTTGTGGCGGGACGTACAGTGTACGTCTCCCTTCACGAAGGGGTTAAGGTTCATGTAAACAAGTCTGTGCCTTTGTGTACAGGCAGCCCACAGATGATGGCACCTCTGTGTAGGTAGATGGAGAATAGAATGACTATCTAAGAAGTGAGGGAGCTGGTACAAGTGACAGGTGGTACAGGTAACCCTGCGGTGACAGGGTCACTTTAAGGTTCATGTAAACAAGTCTGTGCCTTTGTGTACAGGCAGCCCACAGATGATGGCACCTCTGTGTAAGTAGATGGAGAATAGAATGAATATCTGTATATAAGTGAGGGAGCTGATACAAGTGACAGGTGATACAGGTAACTAGAGCTGCAGCTAACGATTAATTTCTAAAATCGATTAGTTAGCCGATTATTAAGTTCAATTATCCGGTTAATCGGGATTTTAAAAAATGGCTCCAGTGATGGACTACAATCTCAATACAAAACTAGTAGTCCATCAGGGGAGCAAGCTTGGAGCAGTGGAAGTAAAAAAAATAAATAAAAAAAAAGTGTGGTGTGCAATATAGTGAAATGTAAAATTTTAAATTATACAGCAATCAATGCAGAATGGCACCGGCTACAGAGGACTACAAATCCTAGCAATAGTACATTAAAGCTGGTGGTATTCTGTATTGCGCTGTATAATGTACTATTGCCGGGTTTGTAGTCCTCTGTACAGCGCAATGCAGAATAACACTAGCTATAGGGGACTAAAAATCCCAGCAATAGTACATTATACAGCGCAATGCAGAATACCGCCAGCTATAGAGGAATACACCAAATCCCAGCAATAGTACATTATAGCTGGGATGTATAATGTATTGCTGGGATTTGTATTCCTCTATACGGCGGGGAGGAGGTGCGGCATGTGTAGAGCCGTGAACAGGGCCAACTAATTGAAAGCCGATTAATCGATGATTTCAATCATCGATTATAATCGACTTAGACGATTAGTTGTTGCAGCCCTACAGGTAACCCTGTGGTGACAGGGTCACTTTAGTGTCCATGTAAACAAGTCTGTGCATGCGTTTACAGGCAGCCCACAGAAGATGGCACGTCTGTGTAAGTAGATGGAGAATAGAATGAATATCTAAGAAGTGAGGGAGCTGGTACAAGTGACAGGTGGTACAGGTAACCCTGTGGCGACAGGGTCACTTTAAGGGTTACGTAAATAACTCCACGCCTTTGTTGGCAAGCGACCCATAAAAGAAGGTAGGGAGCTGATATTTGGTAAAAATCTGCATCACAATGAACAGAAACACAACTATCTTACGCTACCTGTGTGAGCTGCCCAAATCCCCGAGGCCAGGCACTTTCCTGATAAGGATCCTTTGGGTAAGACCTGACTGGGGACCGGTCACCATGACGATATACCTGCAGGAGAAAAGGTAGAGTATTCATAAATACAAAGATATATAATTCCTCTGTCCATCACATACAGTCCTTCAACTACCGGTAACCATGACAACACATAGCGCACACAGGAAGGGATGGTATGTAAATCTTCCTACACCAGTCACAGAACTTAAAACAACATTGGGAAGGTGTGTGGAAATCAGGGGTGGATATAATGTAAAGTAGGGTGGCAACAGAAACAGGTCAAACTTGTTAGCAATTAAATCTAATGAGGTCAGCATTTCCCGAAAATCCTAATTTCCCCATACATGTAACTGCCTCGTTTTCCTCTTCCACACAACTATGCACAAGGTGTAAAGAGAACCAGACACCAATGGGCATTTGTAATAATATGAATCAAGTGCAGCCTTACCTATCAGGGACTGCTTGATTTATCATTATTTACTTGTATTCTCTCCCTGTTATAGCAGACGTGAAAGCCTGTCCATTCTCTTGACTAAATATATGAACATCTATTATCTGCATGATAATAGATACTCATATAACTGTCATATGACAAGGGTTCTGCCAAAAGGCTTTATTCGCAGTTTTAGGGCTCGTGCACAAGGCCACAGAAAACGCAGCATTTGTTTTTATTTTTGCGACAATCACACCAAAGAAATGCAATCACATTCTTTAATAAAACACGCTGCACCATGCATTTGGTGCAATACAGCACGCATGCTTTAGAAGGCACATTACAAATGAGTGGTACCACATCTGCCAAAAAAAACAACACATTTTCATGAGCTGCAGGAACACATGTAATTTTGCATGGGTTCCTCCAGCACACACGTGTAAACATGGACTTAGACTGTAGTTTTTTCTTGTTCAGCCCTGAGGCTGGGTTCACACCATTTTTTAACCACTGCAGGGGGGGAAGAGAGGCTCCAGGGACCGGTCTAAGAGCAAGTCGGCTCAAAGGATCAGGTGAGTATAACGTTTTTATTTTTGACCCTAGGCAAAAAAGAAGCACTTAACCCTTGCAGTGCCGGGGTAGCCCCAATGCAAGGTTTAATAAAATTGTTTCTTCTTTAAGATGGACAAATACAGCTCAAATGTTGGCCAATTCCTGCTGGATGGTCCAAAATTTGTGGCGTGGGTGGCCCCTTCTGCACCAGCCGGCTTGACAAACTTCAATTACTAAACCAAAGGAGGCAAGTGGAAATCTGTCACCCGAAAACACTGACTGCAGCCAACCAGATGCAGTTACAAACAGAAGGAAGCTCCTTCCGCTGCTACCCAATCAACTGCAGTCGGTGAATTCCCCGCCCACAGCTGCATGTAAGCAAAGAGGCGGGGTGCTGTGATGTCATTGACCTTATAAGGCCACATGGCTGTTATTTGATCCGTGCCATAACGCTGACCTGATATGATCATGTGGCCATATCAGGTCAATGGTGGCGGCAGAAGCACCCCGCCCCTTTGTCTATGTGCAGTTGCTGCGAAAGGAATTCCCTGGCCGCAGCTGATTGGGTGGGTGGCGCCAGGCCCCTTCCGTGTTTAAAAGGAGCGCTGGTTCGAAGCTTCTGATTGGCCTGTATTAAAATGAAAATAACAAATGCATTATTCATTTTTCTTTTTTTTAATTCATGGAATACCCAATGGGAATGTGGGTGAAGTCAGATTGCTAAATGTATTGCTTTACCCAATAAACTGAACTCGTTACTATGGGTGACAGCACCTTTCATGTCACGTTACTGCTTTACTGGCCCATAGGAAACAAAATAAAAACATTTGCAAAGACAAATCACAATGATGGAGTAAGCCGGCCTCCTCCACTTCCGGGTCTAACCTAGGCAGTGCAGGTACACAGGTGACGTCACAACGCCCCCCTCCGCCTCCCCTCACTTACCATGGTGACGAAACGGAGCTGACGAGCTTGTGAGGTCTGCAGAGCGACGGCCAGAACCTGACCCAGCAGCAGCACCGCTGCCCCACGCCAGGAGACCGAGCCCAGGCCGCTTCTTCCAGCCATTGCTCTCAGTATGCCCGGCCCCGGAACTCCTTGAGCAGGGCACCACCTCCTGTACGGACTGCTACAACGGTAACACACAGAGGGCACACAAAGCGCAGTCACTGAGAGTATAAATATGGCTGCCGTCCAAGGCTTCAGACCTGGGTGTACATAGATGTCTGCCGACTTGAGAAAATATTGTCAGCTGATCAGGGTATCATGTGACCAGGACTCCTCTAAAATTAATTTTATTAAAGCTGTACTCCCCCGCCTTCTCTTTAGTCTTCTAGCGACTCCTCTCTTGGACTGAAATGGTTTAGTTTGATTTCACTGAACCCCGTATGCTTTCCCACAATGTGCATTAGAAGCTGCAGCAAGTCAGCTAGAGCCCCTCATTACTTGGCTAGATGACATTCAGCCTCATCTAGCTCTTTCTTCTTCATCCTGACTCACCGTGGCCCACCCATTTCATTTATTGCATTTCAGTTCTTTCAATCATAAAGATTCAGCATCACTTTGGGGCATTACCTGGGACGGTCTGCATCTGCATGCAATTGCAGTCTGCTTAGGTACACCCCCTTCTCCAGACTGACATCCACCCATCATGGCATTTTGATATTTTCATAACCCCTCCCAAGAACCAGCCGACTGCTTTGAGAGCAGTACTGAGGCACTGACTGACCCCCAATGTATGGAATATTCTTCCCACTGACCACCAATGTAAGGGGCATACTTCTCAATGACCAGAAATGTAAGGGACATTCTTCTCACTGACCACCAATGTAAGGGGCATTCTTCCCTCTAACCACCAATGTAAGGGACATTCTTCTGACCACCAATGTAAGGGGCATTCTTCCCACTGATCACCAATGTAAGGGACATTCTTCCCACTGACCACCAATGTAAGGGCCTTTCTTCCCACTGACCACCAATGTAATGGGCATTCTCCCCACTGACCACCAATGTAAGGGGCATTCTTCCCACTGACCACCAATGTAAGGAACATTCTTCCCACTGACCACCAATGTAAGGGACATTCTTCCCACTGACCACCAATGTAAGGGACATTCTTCCCACTGACCACTAATGTAAGGGACATTCTTCCCACTGACCACCAACCTTTTTTGTTAAAAAAAAAAATGATAAGACTCTGACACAACACATGCTGAAAGCTGGTCTTGCAGTTTTAGTGGCCTAATGGGAATGTGGGTGAAGTCAGATTGCTAAATGTATTGCTTTACCCAATAAACTGAACTCGTTACTATGGGTGACAGCACCTTTCATGTCACGTTACTGCTTTACTGGCCCATAGGAAACAAAATAAAAACATTTGCAAAGACAAATCACAATGATGGAGTAAGCCGGCCTCCTCCACTTCCGGGTCTAACCTAGGCAGTGCAGGTACACAGGTGACGTCACAACGCCCCCCTCCGCCTCCCCTCACTTACCATGGTGACGAAACGGAGCTGACGAGCTTGTGAGGTCTGCAGAGCGACGGCCAGAACCTGACCCAGCAGCAGCACCGCTGCCCCACGCCAGGAGACCGAGCCCAGGCCGCTTCTTCCAGCCATTGCTCTCAGTATGCCCGGCCCCGGAACTCCTTGAGCAGGGCACCACCTCCTGTACGGACTGCTACAACGGTAACACACAGAGGGCACACAAAGCGCAGTCACTGAGAGTATAAATATGGCTGCCGTCCAAGGCTTCAGACCTGGGTGTACATAGATGTCTGCCGACTTGAGAAAATATTGTCAGCTGATCAGGGTATCATGTGACCAGGACTCCTCTAAAATTAATTTTATTAAAGCTGTACTCCCCCGCCTTCTCTTTAGTCTTCTAGCGACTCCTCTCTTGGACTGAAATGGTTTAGTTTGATTTCACTGAACCCCGTATGCTTTCCCACAATGTGCATTAGAAGCTGCAGCAAGTCAGCTAGAGCCCCTCATTACTTGGCTAGATGACATTCAGCCTCATCTAGCTCTTTCTTCTTCATCCTGACTCACCGTGGCCCACCCATTTCATTTATTGCATTTCAGTTCTTTCAATCATAAAGATTCAGCATCACTTTGGGGCATTACCTGGGACGGTCTGCATCTGCATGCAATTGCAGTCTGCTTAGGTACACCCCCTTCTCCAGACTGACATCCACCCATCATGGCATTTTGATATTTTCATAACCCCTCCCAAGAACCAGCCGACTGCTTTGAGAGCAGTACTGAGGCACTGACTGACCCCCAATGTATGGAATATTCTTCCCACTGACCACCAATGTAAGGGGCATACTTCTCAATGACCAGAAATGTAAGGGACATTCTTCTCACTGACCACCAATGTAAGGGGCATTCTTCCCTCTAACCACCAATGTAAGGGACATTCTTCTGACCACCAATGTAAGGGGCATTCTTCCCACTGATCACCAATGTAAGGGACATCTTCTCACTGACCACCAATGTAAGGGACATTCTTCCCACTGACCACCAATGTAAGGGGCATTCTTCCCACTGATCACCAATGTAAGGGACATTCTTCTCACTGCCCACCAATGTAAGGGGCATTCTTCCCACTGACTACCAATGTAAGGGACATTCTTCTGACCACCAATGTAAGGAGCATTCTTCCCACTGATCACCAATGTAAGGGACATTTTTCCCACTGACCACCAATGTAAGGGCCTTTCTTCCCACTGACCACCAATGTAATGGGCATTCTCCCCACTGACCACCAATGTAAGGGGCATTCTTCCCACTGACCACCAATGTAAGGAACATTCTTCCCACTGACCACCAATGTAAGGGCCTTTCTTCCCACTGACCACCAATGTAAGGGCCTTTCTTCCCACTGACCACCAATGTAAGGGGCATTCTTCCCACTGACCACCAATGTAAGGGACATTCTTCCCACTGACCACCAATGTAAGGGACATTCTTCCCACTGACCACCATGTACATAGATGTCTGCCGACTTGAGAAAATATTGTCAGCTGATCAGGGTATCATGTGACCAGGACTCCTCTAAAATTAATTTTATTAAAGCTGTACTCCCCCGCCTTCTCTTTAGTCTTCTAGCGACTCCTCTCTTGGACTGAAATGGTTTAGTTTGATTTCACTGAACCCCGTATGCTTTCCCACAATGTGCATTAGAAGCTGCAGCAAGTCAGCTAGAGCCCCTCATTACTTGGCTAGATGACATTCAGCCTCATCTAGCTCTTTCTTCTTCATCCTGACTCACCGTGGCCCACCCATTTCATTTATTGCATTTCAGTTCTTTCAATCATAAAGATTCAGCATCACTTTGGGGCATTACCTGGGACGGTCTGCATCTGCATGCAATTGCAGTCTGCTTAGGTACACCCCCTTCTCCAGACTGACATCCACCCATCATGGCATTTTGATATTTTCATAACCCCTCCCAAGAACCAGCCGACTGCTTTGAGAGCAGTACTGAGGCACTGACTGACCCCCAATGTATGGAATATTCTTCCCACTGACCACCAATGTAAGGGGCATACTTCTCAATGACCAGAAATGTAAGGGACATTCTTCTCACTGACCACCAATGTAAGGGGCATTCTTCCCTCTAACCACCAATGTAAGGGACATTCTTCTGACCACCAATGTAAGGGGCATTCTTCCCACTGATCACCAATGTAAGGGACATCTTCTCACTGACCACCAATGTAAGGGACATTCTTCCCACTGACCACCAATGTAAGGGACATTCTTCCCACTGACCACTAATGTAAGGGACATTCTTCCCACTGACCACCAACCTTTTTTGTTAAAAAAAAAAATGATAAGACTCTGACACAACACATGCTGAAAGCTGGTCTTGCAGTTTTAGTGGCCACATTGTACAAAGTACAACCTCAGAAAAGACAAAGACATTGTGCTAATAATAATAAGAAGAAGTGAGAACGGGAAGTTTTTTTTGAGTTACAACAAAAACTGACAAAACAAAAAACCCTCTGATTATACATGAGAGGGGATCTATGGTCAAAAACTACAAACTTATGTATTTCTATATTGAATTTCCATAAGTTCTATCCCTCTCCTAATAATAACCAGATCCATCTAGAAGTTTGTAAACGTACTTATTGATGATGCCCATAGGATGGACTTCCTCAAGACACAGACACAGTTTCACTCAGCCCTGTGAATATGCACTTCCTGGTGTGACCACTTTCACAGAGCCTGCCTTCAGAACTACAACCTAGTGTCTGAACAATGTAACATTATCATTGCTTGCAGAAAGCAATGCATGATGGGATATGTAGTCTTGAGAAATGGAAATTGCATCACATCAAGCAGCAGGGGAAGAGACACAAAGCACACTGGAAATCCAGGAAGATGATGGAAGTAATGGGCAGACGGAAGGCAGCACTCACTACATAAGGGATTTTGTTCAAGTAAGCTTGGATTGCATTATCAGAAACAACTCTAGTACGTATTTCTATTACAATGCTCATGTTATAACAGCAGAGGATATGCTCGGACCTTAGAACTTTAAAGTAAACCTGTAGTCAGTTTATAAAACGCAACCTGACAATGGCCTTATAAAGTAAGTAGACTAAGGTGCTTGTTCCTTTCTGCCTTAACAGCTCTTACGTAACCATTTGTTGCAGTCCCCAATATACCAGGCAGTTACTGACTTTCTAAAAGTCAGCATTTGGGTAGGGCTTGACACGCCCCCATGTGGTTGACTATTACGCCTGGCAATAGGGTGCTTAAGAGCCAGGCATTCCATTGTGGGAGGTGTGCAGCTGTATCTTTGGTACACATCAGGGACATAGTGGCTGAAGCCACAGCGATGAAGCGGTGGACGCAGACATCTGACATAGCAGAAGTGTTGCATGCTGAATATTTTTCAGCCAACATAGCTCTGCAATAAAGTGGAGATTGGAGGGATGAGCGGAAGGACAGGTAAGTGTTATTCCTTTTCTTTTACAGCATTGCTTTAAAGCTGAGGTTTAATCTCCATAACCGGTCCGATTCGGTGCCGGAATGCACTGGATCGCATCCCTGCCATCTCACTTTGTTTTGGGGCGGGAGGGGGCGTGGCGGTGCATTGAAGTCAACGGCACCACAGCCTTGCCCACCTGCCGCAGTGCGATTGCCCGCACTGGAATACGCGGCACATCAATGCCTGTGTTCCGGTTCGGTGTGGTCAGAGGAAATGCTGCATGCACTATTTTTTCTGACCACACCAACAGACAGCATGAGAATGAATAGCTCATTGAAATGAGAAAGGCACCTCCCTATAATTTTTTTTTTCAGGTTGGGATGTCGGTTGTCTGGGTATTTTTTTTTCTCAGCGAGTCGGCGGCCATCGTCCATCGTGATTGACAAGGATCTACATCACTGGACAAACAAGATTGACCTTTGGATTGCATTGATGGACATTTTTTTTTCTTTTACTAAACGACTTTGTATACAGTGTTATATGTTTATTTACTGTTTGGTGAATGAGTAGGGGTAACAACTACCCCTTACTACCCCCCTTCACGAGGGGGGTGGCATCCGGGTGCCCCCTTTATGAAAGGGGGCACCCAGATGCAGATAAGCCCCTTCCCCCCAGCCCCTCAACAACCAGGTCAGGGTTCTGGGGAAGAGGCCCTTGTCCTCATCGACATGAGGACAAGGTACTTTTCTGAGGGCCCCCCGGCAAAGCACCTGTCCCATGCCGAGTATATGAGGCTTGGTATGGTGCAAGAAGGGGGGGCCGCATGCTTGTCCCCGCCCCCTCTTTCCTTTTTTGGGGGGGCGTTGGAAGGGTCTGGTGTGAATTGGGGAGGGGACTCCACTGTTTTTTTACTTTAACTTTTAAGAAGCTGAATTAATTCTGAATAACAATCGGAACAAAATGCGGAAATTTTCGGATACGTTCTGATTCGTTATTTTTTTATTCGGAAATTTGTATGCATCCGAATGTCTGAATTTCTCAAAATTAATTCAAATTTCTACTCGGAACAAAAGGAATCGCTCATATCTAATAACAGAGAGGAGGTGTGATGATGCCGACAGGGAATTTCCAGTGGGGGTAATTTGGAGGTGGGAGAGAAAATGTCCAGAGGAGTAAAATGAGGGAGAAGAAGAGGAGGAGAGAATGGGGAGAATTGGGAGAGATAATGCAAAGAGGAGAGGAGGAGAAAATGGGTGAATGAATTGGGAATAGACAGAATGGAAGGGGAAAGACAATGAAGGAGTAAATAAAGTTAAGGTTAAATAAAGTTAAAGGAGAACTATGAGGTGAGTGCTTTTCACTCACCTCATAGTTCTAGCCGACCTGTGACAATGAGACTTTCACATGTCGGCTCAGTAGATCGGGAGGTGAGCGAACACATCCCGGGTTCGCTCACCTCTCGATCCTGTCACGGCTCTCTGCCGTGACAGGGGGAGGGTCTGGATTCCCCTCTCCGATCTGCCAGCGCTGACTGGCGGAACGGGAGGGGGCGGGTGCAGCTGGCTCTGCCTCTAGATAGGCAGAGCCAGCTGTCACTCACGCAGCTGGGCGGATCCCATCGTCTAAGTCGGGATCCGCTCCGGCTGCGGCGTCTCAGTATACCGCGAGCAGCAGCTGGCGGTATACTGAGCTTAGGGTAACGAGAGGACGCTAGTTTG